CATACAATATTCTTCAAATTCACTACAAAGTAGAGCTGTTGCACACCTGACAAGATGATGCAAATCAAAAAGTGAGATGCTGCCTAGAGAAACTCACACATGAGGTCATAGGAAAGAATAAATTTGCTCTGATGTACAGAAATGTCCAATGTACAGTAAAATTCATAAACTTATGGAGTCTTGCAATGGGACACGGAATCCTGCCATGATTAGGAAATGTTAGAGTAAGGGAAAAGGTGAGAAAGCTTCCTGAAGACCTGAGGTGGGGCTGAGTTTTACATGGAAGGAAGTTGAATAGGGATGAATCCTACTGATGCTGATAACTGAGACTCATAGCTGTGGCCATGTTTACGTCTCAGGAGAATGGGATGCCATCATATGTAAATCCCTCATCTATTTGCATAGCATTTTGAGAGGCCTCTCCCTCTGTGCCACCTACATGCTGAGTACCCTCCAGGCCGTCATCCTCAGCCCCAGAACCTCCTGTTTGGCAAAGTTCAAGCGTAAATCACCACAGCACCATTTGTGTTTCCTTCTTTCCCTGTGGGTCTTCTATATGACCACTAGCAGTCACTTCTTAATATCCATTATTGCCACCCCCAATATGACCTCAGGTAACTTTATGTATGTCACTCAGTCTTGCTCCCTTCTAGTTATGAGTTATTCCACAAAACACACATTTTCCACACTGCTGGCCTTCAGGGAAGCCTTCCTTATAGGTCTCATGGCCCTCTCAAGTGTTTACATGGTGACTGTCCTGTGCAGGCATAAGAAGCAGTCCCAGCATCTTCGAAACACCGGCCTTTCTTCAGTAGCATCTCCAGAGCAAAGGGCCACCCGGATCATTCTGCTGCTCATGGGTTTCTTCGTGGTTCTGTACATTTTGGACATCGTTATCTTCTACTCAAGAACAAAGATGAAGGATGATCCAGTGCTTAACTGTGTCCAGATTCTTGTGTCCCATTGCTATGCCACAGTCAGCCCTTTTGTGTTCATCAGTACTGAAAAACGTATAATTCACTGTTTGAGCTTCAGGTATGGGAGGACAGAAAACATTTGATTACCTCGTAATGTGTGAGCTCCATTAAAATGTGCCAATGTGCTGGCATCAGAGCTGAGAATTACAGTGTGGTGCATATAGTGTGTGGTTTTTACTGAATTATAGAATTGCCTTTTTCCTCTTAAATCTATTTACTCTGGGATAGGTGGGTGACAGGTATGTAAAAGAAAGTTAAACCATATGCCCTCTCAGATATCACAAGGGCTTTATGTTTCTCAGTGAGCCTTGAAGGAAGATGTGTGAGGTGACTCTCGTGTGCCATGACCTGGGTTAGCTCATTTGTAAATATTTGATAGCTTATTAAAAAACACGTAGTTATCTGTACAACAATGCTCATAGTAACAGGATTTAAAATAGTCAAAGGTGGAAACAACCCAGTGTCTAGAAATGTATGAATGCATGCCAAATCATTGCCTCTATGTGTAGTGGAATATTATTCTGTCTTGAAGCAAAAGAAATTCTGGCACATGGTAGAACACAGATAAGCACTGATACTACCTTGCTAAGTGAAGTAAATGAGCCACACAGAACAAACACTGGATGGATCTCTTACTGAAGGAACAGCTGCTGCTAAAATTCCTTCTGGGAGACACAATGTTAGGCTCCTCCTTCCTCTGTTCTTATGACAAACCCAGGTTTAACTTCTCCAAACTGCAGTTTGGAAAACCAGAGCTTATTGGGCTTACTTACAGAGCAGTTGTCAATAGTTCTTAGCTAAGGTTGGAGCTTCTTACCCATTTACCCACTTCCATGCTGTGTTTTTGTCTTGTTTGAGTCTGAGTTTGGATCTTGTGCATGCTGTTACCATTGCTGTAAGTTCATATGAGCAAGTTCCCTGCTGCCCGAAAAACTGTTTCCTTGTGGTCATCCTTCTCATGCCCTCTTCTGCAGTGACCTCTGGGCCCTGAGTGGTAGAGGTTTCCTATCCAGGGACAATCATTGTACAGTCTCTTTATTATCTACATTTTGGCCAGTTGTGGATTTTTGTGTTGTGTTAGGAAGCTTCACCGGTGAGAGCTGAGAGATGCATTAATATTTTCTCTGCCCTCTGTTCCACTATGTTCCGTGGGCCTTAGGTTTAGAGGCTGCACTGTAGATGTGTCTGGGCATCTTGCAGACACTTCTTTTCATTTGTCCAGCTGTGGAACTCTGTAGTAGTCTCCATCTGTTGCAAAAAGAAGCTCTTTTGTTGAGTGGTGAGAGGTAAACTTGTCTGCAAGTTTCATGATTTTGTTTTTCCTTACCACTAAGTAGAACTCCATTGTGTAAATGTATCACACTTTCATTATCCATTTATCAGCTGAGGGACATTTAGATTGTTTCCATTTCTTAGCAGGCTGGTCCTGAGTTCTCAGGCTGGGCCAGGAGGAGGGGATCTAGGCCCAAGGTGGGGATGGGAACAGCATGAGGTGGATCTAACTGGCTAAGCAGAGTAGATGTGAGTCCTGGAGCAGAATGGAGCTGTTCCTGGAGCAGAGGATCTAAGACCCGTGCTTGGGATCTAACCAGGCTAGTTGGAAGATCTCAGGCTAGTTGAGAAGGAGGGGGCCTAGACACAAGTTGGGTGTGGGGACAGTATGGGGAGGGTCTAACTAGCAAAGCAGAGTCAATTTCCTACTCTTAATGTGTAGAGAGAGGACCCTTAGAGCCACAGAGAACTCATGGGGGCACCAGGAGCCTATCACTTCAGAATAAGACGTTAAACAGTATAAAAAGGTTTGGGACTAATTACACATGAGGATCAAAATGAGCAAAGTTGAGTTGTCTGCGTGACATGACACTCCTTCCTCAGGCAGATGTGGCAGGAGACCATGTGGAAACATTTGAGCCCAGCTCTTGTTACTTACTGTTATCCAGGACACACAATAAAATAAGATCACCAGTCAGGGAAAATGCTCCACTGGATGCCACATTTCTGTGCTCCACAGCAGGATCTTGTCACCTTCTAGACACTAGCATTACAGGCTGCAGAGAATTAAAGGTTGAATTGTTTGCACAGTGCTGGCCCTAGGCTTTCACTAGTTGCTTAGCCTCTGCACTTTTCCCTCCATAGATTGGGCACAACTTCTTGGAAAGCAAGGTCATTCTGAAACTAGCCTTGCTCTCTCACCCCAGGCAACTCAGAATGAGGTCACAACAGGTATGTGCATGGCCCACCCTTCCAAGGCTGGTTCTCAGGAGGGTAATCTCTTATAATCATCTCTGGGTAACTAGGAATCATTTCATAACCTTCTCATAGCTGAGACTCAAAGGTGGAAGATGGCCCAGCAGTTGGGAAGTTGGTTGCAGGCTGTGGTAACTGACTTGAAAGCTTTAATAATAATAATAATAATAAATTAATAATAATAATGTGATTTTTTTAGAACAATGGGGAGGTCCCTGGTTGAGGGAAACCCCAGGGCAAAGTTCAATAAGCAGAATCTGGGCTGTACCAGGTGATCTTGGTGCCACCCCCCCCAAAGCAGTCCTCCCAGGACACTGCCTCCTGTGAGTGTACTCTGTACCTTCTGCTGTCCCCTGTCACTGCTCAGATTCTACATCTCTAGAGACAGAGTCTGACTGGCTGGGTGTAGGTATCAGGAAATTCTTTGTATTGAACAGGGTCTCAAAGGAAAAGCAGATATTTGCTATAGAGGAGGGAGGGGCATTCCAGGTGGAAGGAGCAGCATGTGCATCACTAAGAATCTTGAACCACCACACAAAGGGGCTGCACAAGGCGTGTCTCTGCTCATGTCATTTGGTGTATCCACCATGAGAAATAGCTACCATAAAACTGTATTTTCAAAAGACTTATTTTTATTGTATGTGTATTAGTGTTTTGAGTGTATTCATGTAAGTGCACCACACGCATGCAATGTCTGTGGAGGCAAAAGAAGGCATCCCGTGGAACTGGAGCTAAGGCAGTTTGTAGCTGCCATGTGGGTGCTAGGAATCAAACTCAAGCTCCCTACAAGAGCAGCCAGTTCCTTTAATTGCCCACACCTTTCCAGTCCAGTGAAATTATATATTTTTCATTTATTATTTATATGTGTATGAGTGTATTGCCTGCATGTATGTGAGTGCACCCATGTCGTGCAATGCTGCAGAGGTCAGAAGAGGGCTTCGGATTCCCTTGGAACTGGAGTTAAGGACGGTTATGTGGGTGCTGGGAATCGAACCCAGGTCAGTCAGTGCTCTTAACTGCTGAGCCATCTCTCCAACTCCCAAATTATATTTTTAACAGCAGTGACAAACAATTATACAGCAAAATGTCATAAAATGCTGTGAAATGAGGAGGGGAGGAAGGAGAGTCATAAAAACTCTCCCAAGTTAGTGTTCAACAACATCATTCCAGACATCTTTGTAGACATGTGGAAGAAGGGACAAAGAGAGGAGAGAAGGGATGAAAGAGGAGGATGGGGCGAAGGAAGGACAGAAGGGAGGGAGGTGGGAGGAAGGAAATAGAACTGTTAAAAAGAGATCACCATATATTTGCTAATTAAAAAAATAAACGCAATGGATAAAATGGGGGTATTTAAATGGGAGGGGGAGGGAGGGTTATACAAGGAACTTTGAGGATAAAGGGAAAGAAGGAGTTCAAGAGAGGTGGGACCATAAGAGACTTGTATTATCAAAGGAGAAATGGGGAAAATGGGGACACATTAAATGGGGAAATCATGGAGGAAGGGCTAGACAGAGAGAGAGAGAGAGAGAGAGAGAGAGAGAGAGATCACTGTATAGATGTCAAAACATATATCATAATTAACAATAATGCCTAGCTTGTATAAAAAAACCAGGGGGACTCATATTAGTCCAACCATGTGTATAGCTAAAGGCTACATAACAAGAAACAGTGCCAGATAGGAGAAACCTTCCTTTGAGTTGTTGGCCAGAGTAGTCCAAGAGACTCCCGAAATTACACAGGCTGTTGCCACAGCTCTTGATGGCCTCCCAGAACTTGAAGGTAAGACCCTACTGCTGAAGACAGGACATACTTCGGACACAGTTTGACGAGGCATTTTAGGATTGGCCATAGCTCTTATGTTACAGCCCTAGATAATCCCAGCAACTGAAAACTAGAGGCACTATTCTCAAAGTGTTGGAATAGAAAAGTTTGGCCCAGCTGCACCTGGATGTGGATTTGAGAAAAGGTCAACATGTACCTGGGCACTCTTGCTAACTGCTTGTTTCTGGCTTCTGTATGTTCCACTCCACTTGGCTTGCACCTACAGAAGAAACTATTGGGAACTTTTCCACCCCTGAGCTATGGCAAACTGTTGAGGGGCTTTCCACCCCTGAGCAGACAAAGATATGATTTTTCTGTATAAAATCCTATCCTGAAAAAAGCTCAGGACTACACTTGGGACCAAATGCCTAGTGTAGTCTCTGGATGCCTATAAAGACTTTCTTTTGGCAATACTCTGTGTCTGAGTAGTCTTCTCTAGTGGGACACCTTATAGTAACAGGATTTGGAGCAATGAAGCTGAACTGATCAGGAAGCCACCTCCCTGAAGGCTAGCTCTCATAGCTTTGGAGAGCACTATGCAAGCTGCTAAGGGAGAACATCAATTGATAGTCCAGCACCAGCTTCAGGACCAAATAACCATATTAATGACTAGCACAGCATATGACATTGGTACAGTAGTTGCACTTTTATCTTGGAGGCAATCAACGGCTACCCAATTGGACTAAAAGCCTATTCAACAGGAGGAAATTCATGTGTAGTAAGCATGGCCAGGTACACATTGCTGGAAAGGTCGTGGATCTTGGAGAAGGCTCCAAGACTGTTACATCTCTAGACTAAAATAATTTCTTACTATGTGCAAAATATGTATCCTTGCTGGATGTGGTGGCAAATGCCTTTAGCCCCAACACTTGGGAGGCAGAGGCAGGCGAATTTCTGTGAGTTCAAGGCCAGCCTGGTCTACATAGTGAGTTCCAGGTCATCTGGGGGCTACAGGGAGACCCTGTCTCAAACAAAACAAAACAAAATTATGTATCCTTGTATTTACAGACAAATACCCCAGTCACCACTCATCAAAGAAGCTTCTTTTGCACCAGATGGAGAATATTACAGAGTTCCACAACTGGTCACACACAGACATAGTCTGTGAACTGCCCAGGTCTAAATGGAACATCAACAGTGCAACCTTACACCTAAGGCTCACAGAACATAGAGCAAGATAAAGAGGGCACTAATGAATATCTCAGTTCTCATTAATGAAGCTCCCTCGTGCAACAAAGGGCCAGGTACACAAAAGGTCACAAATGGTGAAAGCATAGAGATGAAGAGTCTGCAGAATGCTGGTCCTTGGACAGGACTCCTATATTAAACTTCACCCACCCAGGGCTCAGGGACCGTTATGGGAGAGGAGGTGGAAAGATTGTAAGAGCCAGGGAGGAGGTGCATGACCATATAGAAAGAGTCCTACAAGCTCCTGGGACACTGCTCATATGAACTTACAGCAATGCATAAGACCCATGCAAACTCAAACAGACAAAACCCCAGCATAAAACTGGGGAATTGGACAGCAGACCCCAATCTTAGCTGAAGAAATATTGGCAACTGATTAGTGCTTGGTGAGGAAGAACTGATCTTCTAAAGCAAGGGACTCTAGATAGACTGAGGAGACCTCAGTAGATGAACTTGAACCGAAGAACATCTGGGGATGTGAACTCGACACAATAGACCTTAACAAAAATTACAGAATGTGTGAATTCCAATGGGAGTGCTATGGGAGGGTGCCAGTGGGGAAGGAGGTATAAAGATGATTAAGATCAATTGAGATGTTCTGTATGAAATATACCATAATTCAATAAAAATAAAATAAACATACAGAGCTTATTTTGTCACTGAATCTAAAAAAAAAAGGTCAAGAAATATACTGAAGTAGAAACAGTTGCTAACCTTACATTTTTGTTTTGTTACCCAAATGCGTATTTGTCACATGACTTCCCCAGGATGGTAGAGAGCATAAGAGATTGAATGCTGTCTTTTCTCTTAAATTATACACTCCACTTTTAGCACTTAGTTT